TTCTTTTATGTATTTTTTAAAAACTCAATGAACATTCGAACATCGGTCAAAATTTTTTACCGATGCTCGAAAATCTAGAGTTTATAACCAATCAATGCTCGAAACTCATCGATTCCAATTTCTAGTTTTAATCTACTGTATAAATACGTATGAACCTCCACACTAACTATTAACTATACATAGTTAATATTTTTCTGATGTTACGTTATTAATTTACTGTCTATCACCACGTTTTTTTAAAACTTACCGAAGCACAAATTCATATTTTGATGAGGCGCATACGTACGTACGTACATTCCTCAAGATCTTCAGGGAGCATTGATGAGGCGTATTCATTCATTCAATCAAGATGCATGTATTCATTCAATCAAGATATATGCATTCATACTTTATAAAATTACTATAACTCAACCAATATGCATGCATACTTTATAAAATTATAATTCAATCAAATGCATGCATACATATAATAAAACGTATTTAAGTAATAAAGGGGAAGAGCCCGATAGGATGTGGAGAATATTTGTCACATCTTTAATATTTAACGCAATCTAATTTTATGATCGTGCTTTCATATATTTATAATTCATACATAATAAAAATAGGAACTAACTTGCTTTGCCGATACCAAAATAAATGCGAGATTAACAAGGGCTTTGATGATCGTCAACGGAGTGATAGACAGATGTGAGTTTAAGAATATTAGGAAGAAATAGGGACAAAGCCACTTAGATCCGTGCAGATTGTGCAGATTTAACAATAAAAGTGATTCGTTACTTTCGTTACTCTGATAGATTAGAGCCGGTTTTTATTAACCTGAAATATACCGGAGTTATCATTTGAATGCAGAAGTTAATATAACGGATTAAAATAATGATTTATAACTTAAAATCGATTGGTTTAAAATCATTTATTATTGGGAGTAATTAATTAATATACTCAAGAAGGAATAATCATATACACAAGAAGGAATAATAATATACCCAAGAAGGATTAATAAAGAAATCTTTTTCAAATTTGTTTGTTGTTGTATGTAAACGATAATTACATCAAAGAAAATTTATCGAAATAGAATATAATTATACAAATTCGGTTCTATTGTTATTTATTTACGGGGGAATGTATTGTTCATTGCATACCGACACAAATATACCGAATAAAGAAATGATTTTTATACATGTAATACTCTGATTACAGGATTGGAATTTCGGGTAAACAAACACCGATTACGAAATTATTGTTACAGTATAAATATCATGCAGATATGTCCAAATGCATTTACTAATAGATTTTCCTTTGATTACCAAGTTAATAATTGCCGAGTTGAATACCAATTTCATTAAATATATGTTGATTGGATATGTATCTCAAATAAAATGAAGTTTGGAAGAAAATTAGATAAGAAACAGTAAATATTAAAAAAAAAAAATTAATATTATCGTTAATAAATTTTATTGGTTACAATAATATATGAGATAAGGAAAATCAAAATTAAAAATAATAAAAACAACTCGTATCGATAATGATTTAAAAATTGAACAAGTTATTTAAATTTGTATAGAGAAAAACAATTTAAATTTATTTAATACAACATCTACAACATGATCTTGTGTAATATTTACTTTTTATACAATAAATAAAATAAATTTGTAAATTAATCAGAAAACAATTTAAGTACAAAAGTACATTAAACACAAAGTACATTAAAAGTGAATATATATATATATTTTAATAACATTAATAACATAATATAATCACAAAAATTTAATTATATTAATTATATTAGTTTAATAAAATAAGGAACCGAATAATACAACAACAACAAAACTCAAAGATAAAAGATCATTATTGAGTATTTTTGTAGCACCAGATTTTGTTTGAGTTGGAGTTGGGGCTTCGGAATTCCGAGTTGGAGGACTTTTAGGATTTGAGTTAGGGTTATTGGTTGGAGTAGCAGCACTTGGAGTTGAAGTAGTGGTGGTTACAGGCACTACTAGACTCTCAACGTAAGGAGATGGATCGTTAAGACATTGATAAACAGGCTTCATAGTATAATTAGCTTTCTTAAGAATTGGTACGACTAGAGGAATTTGCGCAGAGGTTTGATTATATAAGTCGTGTTCGAGGGAGATATGACCAGTACTTTTGAGGTTTGGATCATTGACCCATTGAGTAAAGTTAGCAGGGATCCAGTTTAGGTTGAAAGTTGGATCGTCGGCAGACAACCAATCGTTTGTATCTAAATCCCAAATAGTTGGTTTCAGACCAAGTTGAGTGCAAATATCACGAATTCGATCGTCGTAATCCCCAAATGGAGGACGCATATATTTAGGAGTATAATTAGTAGCAGCTTTTATAGCAGCACTAGTATACATAAGTTCGGCAATAACTACTTCGGAGGATTGAGTAGTTAGTGCATTATGTGACCAAGTATGTATACCGATCTGATGACCTATTTATTTTAAAGAAATGATCGATTTTTAATATTTGATATAATATTGATATAATATTGATAAAATATTGATGTAATATAACATTATAATATGATTACAATAAAATTAAGAATATCACTTACCAGCTTTAAAAGCTCTTAGTAAGATTTCAGGATATGTATATACATTAGATCCGATAACAAAAAAAGTGACTTTGACATTTTGTGTGTCTAAATAGTCCAGAACCGCGGTTGTGAATTGACTAAGAAAAAAAATACATATATATATATATACATGAAAATTCAGTATTTTCGAAATAAGGATTATTACAAATACAGTATTTTTTTTATCAAACTTACGATGGGCCATCATCTAAAGTAAGAGCCCATTCTAGTTGTTTAGGACAGCGAATAATATCAGTATCGTTTCGAGTGCAAGTAGTGCAACTCCAATCACAGTATGTGTCGGTAGTCGGACAAGCAGCAGTAATATTTCTTTTAACAGGAGCATTTCTAAGTTTAGTCGTATTTACAAGTCTTGTAAAATTTGCATTTGCTGGAGGAGGAGCATTTATTGGAGGCCAAGTTCCAGGAAGTACAGCTATAATAGAACTTGGTACTAGAATAAAAAGTGCCGTAAACAAAAATGAGGCAAAATTAATAGGCTTCATGGTTGTCGTAATATGATATATAATTTATTTTCTTTTCGATCTTGAGAAAATGGATAGGGAAGAAATTCAATCTTCGGGGAATTAGAGACAATATTTATACTATTGTATTAGCATGTATTAACACGTTCCAACCATTAGGCTGAAAAGTAAGGGGGGTATTTATATATAAGGAGGTAAACTTAATCTACAGAATACTAAAAATACATATATATATATATTTCGTTTTAACTGGCTGGTTATTACCTATCAAGGATCACTTGTGTGCAATATCATTGAAACAACTGCCCAAAAAATGAATTACATGGATGGTGATACAAACGTCAAGTTTCCTCTGGATATTTGTTGCAGCATGTCACCGATTAAAATGTTAATATATTTCTGTAGTTAAATGTAGCATATAAACAAACCAGGTACTATAATAAGATGAATCGTGTATAATAGATTTGTGAAACCGATGTGTAAAGCCTAGAATAAGAAAACAAATCATTTATTTAATTCTCTCTACTTTGAACTTTTCGCCGAATTCCAGGGGTAATCTTTTCAAAGGTTAAAAAGTGAAACATGGAGAAATCAATTTACATTTTTGTTCACATGCGGTAGTACATATGCTGAGTAGCATTGTCGCATTTAATTCATTATATTAAATTGCAATATACAGTGAGATAATTAACCGGAGGTCTTTTTTTCTTCTTCTTTTCACATATTATATTTGTTCTCCTTGTTTAAAATATCTAAATAGAACTTTCCTATGTAAATATATCTGCACATATAAAGTGCATATAAAGTTGGAAAATTCGACGCATTTACATACCGTACGTATAGTACATATTATAAGTACCTTTTTCCATTCAAATTCCGAAAATGACTTTTTATAGTAAGTGCACAAATTGCAGCCTATAAAAAAAATTTTTGTTACGTATTACGTCCGGCAAATGAAAATTTAAATGAATTAAGGTTATTTACGTACCCTACTTGCGACGTACCTACGTACGTACGTACCTACCCTACTTGTCTAATTCCTTTTGCGTTTAATGATTGCCAAATTAAACTCTGCAATATAATGCATGTAGGACATGCTCGTGAAATTTAGTAATAATGTTATTAAACCTCTGTTACGTACGTACGTACGCACATACAGTACATTACGTCGTACGTATTTGTACGGATGTAAATAGTAGCAAGTACGTATCACGGTTTGTGATAAACCATGATTGTAATAAGGTCTAGATAATGTATCTCGCAATACAGATATCATTTATCTATATCAAGTCTGTGTCAATGAAACGTAGGCATTCACTATTTCCTTGGCATAACAGGATAATTGGTACTCGGGGGTATTGAGACGATTGATTATATTTAGCAGTGTTTGTCAGATACCTCTAATTGTCATTGTTACTTTATTATTAACCAACCCTTTATTAGTATTTTATTAGTGATTTGTGAATCTAATTGCAAAACTCTGATATACTTAATCTTGAATGGTGATCTGAAATTTATAGGCTTAGACGAGTCGATAATTTTGGTATGGCTTAGATCGTATCCCTTAGAAAGTCTCTATCCGGGTATAATTAAGTCATTCAGGCAATTTTAAACTGCAATTTATGCACGGACACTTCATTAATATGGCTTAGCCGGCTTAGTTAACTATTATCACTGAATATTAACTTGCCATTAACCATAACGATAATGTTTTTAAAATTAAACCAAACATTCTTTTTCTATTATTGCGACCGTTCGGGAGATTACCGTAGGTTAACTCCAGTCGTAACTCTGGATTAAATTCTAAAATATCCCTTATCGTTATCTTGTTATCTATCTGAGTGGAACTCGGTTATTTACAATAATTGAAAATTAACGAGAGGTACAACGTTATTATTATTTCCATGCTAATTTTTATTATCTCTAATTTTTTTTTTTTTATTATTGATTGGAAACACTCAAAACATTCATACTTTTATCATCGACTACGCTCATTTTTATAATAATCGGAAACCTCTTAAAACATTGCGGACTTTTATTAACTGAACAATTTGTGACTTTTATATATTTTATATCCTTATCCTCTGGAAGGGAAGGCTTAGGGTTGCTACATTAGCCTCACACAGCCTAACGTACTGGTGACCCCTGTTAATATCAACCTCGTTAATATCAACCTAAGCCACAATACAAAATTTTGTAAATTTTTATATATCAAAATTCTCTCATATATATCAACTTTAATATGATTTCTCTTTAATATCACTATCAACATGATTTCAAATATGTTGATATTAACAAGGGTCATCTGTATTATAATTTAAAAAGAAAAAAAAATAAACTTTTTACGTATTTTAAATCATCATGGCTTATGCTTAAATTTCTTAAATTTGCTCAGTTTAATGTTATAAGCCGATCGATTAAGTCGAAAATCACTTAATTATAATGCTTAGTAATATTTTACGTTAAGATTTAATTGGATTTTAGTAAGATAAATTTCGAAAAAGGAAAATTAACGTAAAAAATACAAGTTAAATTTTTGAAAAAAAAAAAGATTAAGCAAAGCTGTTAGCTTGCCAATTAGCCAATGGTTTAGCCACCTGGCTTAGCAAAAAAAAAAACCACTAGAGTTAGATTATAAAAAATTGACATGTAAAATTGACGTAAGAATGCATTAATTTGAGTTAGCATCTGATGTCAAATATCGGTATTGTGAAATGCTAAACTAGTTTTGGATCAGAACGTACCGGAGTTATTATTCCGCAAAAGATGTTCTGCGTAACAAGATTTAAAACCCTAAATTTACCCTATTTATTAATGCACTACCGCTATTGTATGCTGCATCTCTCTTTTTATAGGGGTATACAGTTAGGTTTCAAATGTTCTAACGAGTAATTGCGCTTGGTGCGTGCCACCTAGCATCTGCAGCACTCTAGCCCCCATAGAAAAAAATTAGTCTGATTGGCTAATAGAAATAAAGAAAAAAACTTTAGATAAAGATGTTATAGAAATAAAGAAAACTTTATACGTACGTGCATATAAAGATGCTTATAAACTAAAAATAAACTAATAAATGCACATACGTAAACGAATTTATCACATGCATTTGAGAATAGATTGATGCACGTAAATGTGGTATTTATTATTATCAAACCTGAACTCATTAAAGCTTTAAATCAAAACATGTTACAATTAACAATTCAAAACACATAGTAAAAGTTTAAACATTAAACTTGAATATTTTACTACTAAAGGTGTTTATACCTGTTTAAATTAAATAGTTGCAATTTTAAAGTTTTAGGAATGAATCCAGTCCCGGAAAGACTAAATCTTCTAACCGGTTTTGTGGTTACTTGGTTCTCGATCTTAGACCGGTCTTTATGAATAGTTAAAAAATTATTAAAGACTGTGTTACATTATCACTTATTTTGATTACCAGCGTCATATGATCTAATTTTCTCAGTTAACCAACAAAATGATGACATTTACCTAGAGGTGCAGACATATTTACGTAATAGGCCGTAACTAGGTCGTAATAAAAAAATTATTTTTTATATTGTTACGACCTAGTTACGACCTTATTACGTAAATGTATATGTCTGCACCTCTAGATTTACCTATTGAAATGATTAAGAACCGTTTTTTGAACCAAGACTAGTTCGAAAAACATTACTAGAGCTGTCTTATTAGAAACTGAAACGGACTAGACTGGACTGATCTATCACTAAAAA